CTACGGTCCCGCGACCGTTCCTCCTCGCCGGCTCCATTGACGGCGTATGTGAAGTATGGTCAAATAAGCCTCCGCAGGGCTCGGAGAGAAGTGACAAAAGGGCTTTGCAGGCATCGACTCGTTTCGTGTCGGGCAGTCGGACGTTGATCTATCGCCCCGTTTGTTGTTCGTTCACAGGAGTCGTGGCGCCTTCGCAGACTGACTCGGCCCCGGCACCGCAACGTCCCAAATTGCTCCGTTCCCCACGCTTCAACTGTACCCTTCCCCCGCCAACCTCGAGATCACTCGCCGATATTGCTGACACACACACACACAGCTCGCTCGTTCACTACCACTCCTAATCAATCTTTATTGATAATATTCTTATGGCTTCATTAAATAAAAGGCGTGAAACTGCCTTTGTCTAAATCTAGCCTCATAGCGGCTCCTTCTTGGTGTGCTCTGTGTACATTGCACCTACGCCCGGCCGCCTTTGTCTCCCCAGTGCTGATGTTTACACACACACATATATATACACACATACACGAATCGCACAAAGCAATGATTGAAGTCTACGTCGATCTAGGGGAGGCAGGGGACAAGGTCTGATATCACTCGACGGTGATGTTACCCATGGTCGGGAATCGAACTCTGATCGGTGGGTTCGGAGAGCAATGCGCTAACCGCTGCGCTACCGCTCCCCACACACACACACACACCTGTAACGCGTGGCTAGCAGGTGTGATACTCACGATGCTAATAAAGTATTTTTAAATTATGACTCGCGTCTACCGGACTACTTGTGTGTAGATCTGTCAAGGTCGCAACGGAGCATTCCTGGCTAAACCCAACCAGCGATAAAGCACCGCGGAGAGGCAGCGATGGGACCGTGAAATGGTCTCTCTGCGGTGATAGCTGGATTGTTATTTCGCAAGAGAGGTGATGGCGACGATTTTGGCATGGGGGAGGCCTGAGCTCGAGTCCAGCAGTGTATAGATCACGGCTGGTGATGATCACGAGAAGAGGTTTTAGGGTTAGTGGCCGAATCAGGATGCAAATTCACGCAGCCTTGTCTGACGTGGTAAAGTAAGATTTGACCCAAAACGCGTCTCGTCCCACGGCGTGGCCACCCCCTCACGATGTTCTCTCTCCCACCGAAACTCTGCCACTCTCCACAAAGCCCCCCCATCCCATCCCCCCGTGGCCCCTACACCTCACCCGGTCACTTCGCCTCGGCTTAATGATGCCTCTCAGCTTTGACGGATCGCGCTTTGACAGCCGCCGTGGCACGAACTCCCCCCTCCCATTGCTCTTCCTGCCCCTGCCACCAGGTGTCGTGCGTAATGAGAACCGGTTCGGAAGTCGAACTCAGACCCGTCACACTCCGGTTGCGCCCTCTTCACACCGCGTCCAAATTTGGGATCCGGCGACAAACGCGCGCGTGCAGCCTGCGTCGTGGTGACGCAGTAAATGAAACGCTTAATGAGCTATGCGGATGACGGACGTCTCGGGGCCTACACTGCTGTGACAACTGGATTAATTAAATGCTCAATTAATCGACACGTGAAATTACACAACACCCCCCCCCACCCATCCACCCACACCACCGCGTGGCATCGAAGGGACCTTAATGACGGAGCCACGGAATAAAGGCAGAGCCGAGATGTTCAGTCACGTGGGCCCTGTCATTGTCACATGCCACGTGTTCTTAATTGGCTGTTTTGTCCTCATTATAAAACAAAGGCATGAAAGCATTTCATACGGCGGGGTTGGTGGATCGCAGAGACGCTATCGAGAACGCCAACACGGCAGCCAAGTAGACGGCGGGACAGCCAGTGGTGGGTTCATGAATCCGTCTGTGTGGATGGTTGAGCGTTATCTCCTCATTTTCGTGGTGGATTTTCTCAGGATTAACACTTTCCTCCCACAAGAAGCAGCACATCTCTTTTTTTTGCAGGGCCAATCCCTGCTTCTGAATAAAGTCTCTAGACTGAGGCTTTCCGAATAATTGGCATAAAATAATAATTGTCAAATTGTGGTGAATAGCGCGGTACACCACTCTTAATTTGCAGCCAGCTGAGTGGACATTGCCTTTCCATACGGGTAGGTCATACGGGCAGGTCACATCATGACTCACACTTTTTGGCCACGTAAATAAAGCAGTGCCACCGATTTGACACTTCAGGTGGTACGTGTGTATTTCCTGTCCCAGGGACTTTCAAATTTCAAGTTTTCATGTTTAATTAATTAGGTATATCCCTGTGAGCCATGCGGCTCTTAAGTCGGGTGCAACCGCAACAAAACAAAATTTGAACACAGAACATCCCAAAGCGACGACGCGCAACAGAAACATCCTGGAATAAACCAGCAAATATTCAACACAAAAAAAATTATTAAAACGCTGTGTGCAAAAATCACAATGTGGTGCAAGCCAACAACAACAACCATAAGACAATTCAGATTAACCATATGTTTTCGAATCACCAAAATAAAGCTATAAAAACAATGTAACAACAGTAATCATAGGAACTGTGATTTTAAATTTACCAATAAACGATATACATAACACGTACGACAAAACCTGCAGCCATAGCTGGCAGCACGACACTCCCAGTGTATGATGTGTGAGTGAGTCAGTAGTAGCGTGAGTGAGTGTATGATGTGTGAGTCAGTGTATGATGTGTGAGTGAGTCAGCAGCAGTGTGAGTGAGAGTATGATGTGTGAGTCAGTGTATGATGTGTGAGTGAGTCAGTGTATGATGTGTGAGCGAGTGTATGATGTGTGAGCGAGTGTATGATGTGTGAGCGAGTCAGAGGCAGTATGAGTGAATGTATGATGTGTGAGTCAGCGCACGATTTGTTAGTCAGCACATGATGAGTGAGTCAGCGTATGATATGTGAGCGAGTCAGCGGCAGTGTGAGTGAGTGTATGATGAGTGAGTGAGCCAGCACACGATGAGTGAACCTGTGTATGATGAGTGAATGGGTCAGTGGTTGTGCGACTAACAGCGCCCTACCACTAATGACGTTGCGTCTCACGGGACAGAGCGCTCTCGCGGTGGCATGAGCATCGCGATACGAACTGGGCGATCCGAGTGGCGAGTCATATCTGACGCGACTCTGCGTGCCCCATCACGAGCGTGACAAAACACGGCCAAACAAACCCCAGCATTGAATTGATCCAGGCCTGTGCATTTTTGCTACAATTCTAAATGTGTAAAAATTACCTGATGCTGCTGCTGCTGTTTGAGTGATCACGTATCATTAAAAATACGTTTGCTACCTGTCGATGCAAAGTGAAAGCTGCTGCTGGTGCTGCGACTCTTGTGGCATCATGGAATACGAGGGGATGGGAATTAAATACTCGATGACCCTACGGGCCGCATACCAATAATATTCATCTGGCCGAGAGCCACGAGGCACATGCGTCGCGAGGAGCGGGTCACAAGCGGTGGTCACATGGCGTGGTCATGCGGCCGTGTAGTTTTTAATTTTAGAAATCTGTGGGAGCCTCCCGGGAGTATTCCTGTCTGGTACCGCTGCCACGGACAAGTGTCACGGCTTGTTCCCGCTTCCGCAGATTTTTTTCTTAAGTTCAATTGACAGATTAAGAATTATAGCTGTCTCCGTCGAGTTGCGTCAATTTGACCACCGCCAGTTATGATATTATGTTAATACTGTATACTAATGTGTGCTTATATAGTACTGTAGCATCATTTGTACAAATATATCTCGCAATTATGTGCAATCCACAGTAGATTAATGTGTTGCATGCCATTCATGACGAGTGTCTATACGTGTGGGAGGAAACGGAGCACCCGGTTCAATAAAAAAAAAACAATGTCAACACAAAGGGTGAATGTGAGATGGAGAAAATGGTAAAATCTTATCTCGGCAAAGCGTTTTTTTTTTCAATCACTTAACTTTGTTTTTAAAAGAACAAAACACAACTCCTTGTCCGCCACGGTGTTCAGAGGGCTCGTGTTTATTCCAGTCGGGTTATTTCTCTGACAGTTACGATGATGATGATGTTGTTGTTGTACACGAGAGAAGCGAGACTAATAAAAACCCAGGTTAAACCGAACACAATCACGTATACGGGGATTTCAAACAAGGATAATTGTCGGGAATAATTTTACCTCTCTCTCCGCAGCAGCAACAACAGCACCGCCGCGTGTGCCAATCAGGGCTAGAGGCGAGATACACAAGGTGGCGATAAATAAACGCAGGACCGTTTGCGAAGACTTCTTTGAATTTCGGAGCTAATAAATGCTTTACCTCGTTATCCCTTTTGCCAAGAGAGATTGCAGATCGCAGGGGTTGCTTGGGCAGGCATCCAAACAGAACCACGCGTAACGAATAACAGACGCTGTGCGAATTTTAAACAAACAAACCGGACACGCGTGTAAATTCGAATCACTTCACACTGATGGCCTGGTTACCACTGGCACAAATGGGGGCAATGAGCCAGCACTGCCCGACCAAAGGTGCTTGTATTGACCAAGGCTGCTACCAGAACACACCTGTACAGGTCATCTCAAAGTTCAAGACAAGTAGATGGAATGACCTTCATAAGCAGGTAAGCGCAGTAGATTCATGGCCACGGCTAACATCAGTGGCGAGTGATCTGTGAACCGGTTCTGGGCCTCTCTCCTTCACCAACTAGCACTGACCAGGATGGTGAAGTATGGCCAATAAATGACCTACGCCGAACATGGGGGAGAGGACCTTCATCCAGCATTTGATTGACAAAGGGAAGTACGTTATTTATTCATTAAAGGCGCAATGAGAGAGAATTCCTCTTTGTCGCAGTAAAATAACGTCCAGAGCGTTGGGGAAATTCCACGGACAGCGCAATTCCAGAGGTGACGGCAGAAACGAGGTCGCAGCTCTCCGATGTACATTCGGGTTGCTCCGAGTGTTGTTGGGCCTTAGGTCCGACGTTTCGTTCCACGTGCTGGGAAGCTTCTTCGCGATATACAATCGAGCCGAGCTGAGCACGTGGAGCGATGGCACCCCACGTGGTGATGGTAGTGGTGGTGATGGTGGTGATGGTGGTGGTGATCGTGATAGGTGGTGGTGAAGGTGGTTTTGGTGCCGATCAACAACCCGAAAACACAGCGGAGAGACGCACAGTGCTGTGACAACTTGTGGATTGTTATTGTGTCAACGTTTTCAGATCGTTTACCTTCATTGAATATATCTTATTTAATTCATAAGATGATTAATTTAGCCAAAACTGAGTCTATACATGCGTGGAATTTCCCGTAAAATCGTTGTGACCTAAATTTAAGGGGGATTTTATCCACAAATCTGCAGCAGATTTTTTTTCTGTCCTCTCTTTAAACATCACCGCCATAAACAAAATGTACGACTGGGTCAAAGAACTAGCTCAAGACAAACGGCGAGGACACGCCGACGCTCAAACACGGGCAGCAACTTCGCTTGCGGGAAGAGAGGAATCATTATTCACCAATGATAGACAAGAGACAAACACAAATTACCCCCCCCCCTCCCCAACACAATCATGAACATAAAATATATAAAACCCTGCTGTAAGGAGAGAACAACAGCAGCGATAGCGCTAAGACTCGGCTGTCCGGCCTCGGCCAAGTGTATCCAGGAACGAGGTCACCAACCAGCCCGCGGCGACGGTCAGCACGGAGGGCAACGGGCCCGGGCTCAAACACCGCCACGGACAGTGCCCGGGTGGCAGACGGCCTCTGTTGACAAGCAGCGCTGGCCTCGTGTGTCCAGACGATTCCCCTACAGGGCACGGAACCCCCCCCTCGCCCCCTGGAGAAGAGAGGGACAATGATCCCTGCGAAGCGCAAGCGCCTTGAGGCCACGCGGAAACCCCCCGCAATGCTGTCCCACCTGCCCACCACAGTACAAATAACAGAGGTAACACGTTTGTCAACAGCGCTGCCCTGGAGAGGGTAAATGGGCGACGTTTCGGGGAGCGGTCCTTTTTCATAGCAGACAGAGATAGAAATAGAGGCCAGAGAGACTGAGTGATGTATAGTCGGGAGACTCAGCGATATTCCACGGGGAAATAATGGATTACCAAAAATAAAGGGATACCAGAGAACGACTTTGTATTTTGTCAGACAGAGGGACGAGGGGGGGGGTACTGCGCACTTGCGGAGCGAGACTCACGGGACGCTCCCCCACTGGCGCGCCGGCTCCTCTTTGGGAACCCCAAAGGGAGAAAGGCAAGAGGAAGACAAAGACGGAATTTGTGGTGGGTGCTGGGGCAGGGGAGGGGGGCGGATGATGTTGACAAGTGGACCGTGTGGAGGTGCTGGCACACGCACGGCGACCACCTGCCCACCATTACAAACAGTCCAGCCCGCAGAGGAGGAGGAGGAGCGGGTGGAGGGTGAAACGGGAGGAGGAGGAGGAGGAGGATTGGGGGCCAGGGTGGTGGTGAGCCAGACAAGGCGCGAGATTGATTTCACCAGTTTAACACGTGGTAGGCTTTCACAGCTTTTTTGGGATTAGATCGTGTGAATATATAAATGTGTCGTTAAACCCGCCACCACCCGACAGTAAACTAGCAAGGTTTGTCACTTAAACAGAACGTGCCCATTTGTTTCTAGTACAGCACGCCGATGTGTTGGAGACAAATCCACAATATTTACAATCGGAGTACGACGTTTCACCAGTAATTACAACAAGCATCACCAGGCGGACACATCTGGCTGTTCACCTGATGATGCTCGTTGTCATTACTGGCGAAACGTCGTACTCAGATTGTAAATGTTGTGGATTTACTCTCCAACACACCGGTGTGCTGTACTTGTAACGAATTGGGCATGTTCTGTTTACGTGACAACCCTTACTAGTTGGCCGTGTCGGGTGGTGGCGGGTTTAACGACACATTTATATATTTACGCGATCTAACCTAAAAAAAACCCGCAATATGGATTTATTGCACCACCCAGACGGACGAGGCTGTCAAGTAAATATTCGCCGCAGCTGGTCAAACACGCAGGGCCCGATTCGGTGCGCGGTTACGCAACCGCCTCCACCCTGCTGGGCGTCCGAGGTGCTGCGGACGGGGGGACCGTGTGGGCAGATCTATTCTGTGGGGGGGGCAGATCTATTCTGTGGGGGGGGGCAGATCTATTCTGTGGGGGGGGGGGGGCAGATTTATTCTGTGGGGGGGAGTGGACAGATCTAGTCTGTGGGGGGGAGGGGGAGTGAACAGATCTATTCTGTGGGGGGCGGGGCAGATTTATTCTGTGGGGGGGCGAGATTAACTCCAGCGCAGTCAAGGGGTTGACTGTAAACGATGGGAATTGGAGTTTGTTACGCGCAGGGACTTGCCTTGAGCACATCGCAGTCCCTGATGATGAAATTGAGCGGTGTCCTGAAAAAACGCGATAACCCACAGCGCCGTACTGGCCGCAAAGCGTTTAGTTGAGAAAACGATGACTGAGCGGTCTGCATTCACGACCGTACCGAGTAATTATCTTGTTAGTATCTCAAATACCCCTTTGTCCTCGTGTCGAGATGAACTGGATACAGGAGGTGACGTATAAACATGACGTAAGATGATGATTATGATACTGAGAAAATCGAATCATTCAATCCTTGTACAACCACGTGGGAAGATGATGCCAAAACACAGGATCAAATGTGGCTTGTAAAAGTCTTCCAAATGAAGTTAGCATGGGTACCTTAACAAACATTACACGGGTCAAATCGGTTTTCCACAACGCCTCTCAAGTTCATTCGCCGTAGCTCACAAACATCGAGCAGCCTTTGCTTGCCACCTCCAACAATGCCAACAATGTCAGTCACGTGGCGAAACAAATTCAGTTTAACGGGTAGCTCAGCTCCACCTGCAATGACCCACGCGGTCATGCGAGAGAAACGTCGCGGGTTCAGGGTCACCGCGAGAGAAGAGGCAGCCCGGCAGCACGGCGCGGGCCCGTCGCTCGGCGTTTCCAACGAGCCACGGATCGCGTTGAGCTTCAATCGCACGCTGGCTGTTCAGAGACGTGTCTGTGAACACTTACAGTCTGGGGAGGCCTTCGTCCAGCAGTGGAGTGACACGAAGCAGAATCTTCGCGCTGCCTTGATGTGTGAGCCCACCGCACTCTCTGTTGCGAGGCCCACTTCACTGAGCAACAAAATGCCCGGCCAACACTTTCCCAAAATCTCTTCCCCCTCCCCTACCCCCCACCGCGACATCCCATTTGCTACACGGGCACAACCTGTCCTGCGGGAACACCCTGCAGGCTGGGCTGCTGGGACCGTGGCGCGCATTGCTCCACTGAGTGTCGGCGTCAGTCAATTTGGCAACGGCAAAGCGGACGCCGCCGTTGCTCTTTTACGAGCCTCGGAGAGAAGTCATGAGCCGAGAGCGCGTGTCGAGCCTCTCCAGTGGAACGCGAGCGGCGTGTGGCGTGTGGCTCGCTCTAGACGTGTGGCTCGCTCTAGACGTGTGGCTCGCTCGAGACGTGTGGCTCGCTCTAGACGTGTGGCTCGCTCGAGACGTGTGGCTCGCTCTAGACGTGTGGCTCGCTCGAGACGTGTGGCTCGCTCTAGACGTGTGGCTCGCTCGAGACGTGTGGCTCGCTCTAGACGTGTGGCTCGCTTGAGGCGTGTGGCTCGCTCGAGACGTGTGGCTCGCTCGAGACGTGTGGCTATCTCGAGACGTGTGGCTCGCTCGAGACGTGTGGCTATCTCGAGACGTGTGGCTCGCTCGAGACGTGTGGTGTGTGGCTATCTCTAGACGTGTGGCTCGCTCTAGACGTGTGGCTCGCTCTAGACGTGTGGCTCGCTCGAGACGTGTGGTGTGTGGCTATCTCTAGACGTGTGGCTCGCTCTAGACGTGTGGCTCGCTCTAGACGTGTGGCTCGCTAGAGACGTGTGGTGTGTGGCTATCTCTAGACGTGTGGCTATCTCGAGACGTGTGGCTCGCTCTAGACGTGTGGCTCGCTCGAGACGTGTGGTGTGTGGCTATCTCTAGACGTGTGGCTCGCTCGAGACGTGTGGTGTGTGGCTATCTCTAGACGTGTGGCTATCTCGAGACGTGTGGCTATCTCGAGACGTGTGGCTATCTCGCGAGCGAGCAAGGCGAGCGGCGGGGCGACGCTCGGCCGAGATGACCGCGGCCGCCACTGCCACCGATGCATCCCTCAAACGTGACACGATCCGAATCTCATTTGGGTAGAATGCCGTTTGGATCATAATTGCCATAACTGTGGGTGCCCCCCTTGTCGAAAATGTAAAATTGCAAACAATAAATGCCCTTTTCTTTTTTATTTCCCGAAAGTAAAATATTTCACCGTGATTTACCAACATTCCCGTGGTGTTGCAGCATCACGGTATACGGTTGATGCTCACCGATGGCATGCTGTTGTTATTGCTGTTGTTATTGTTGATGTTACTGCTGTTTTTATTGTTGCTGTTGTTATTGTTGTTAGCTTGTAACTTCGCACTGTTGGGCAAATGCCTGCCCCCCCCCCCCATCCAATTATCCTCCCATTCCCCCCTTACTCCTGTCCAGCAGCGGCCTCTGAACGTTTCGATTTCAATCGATGACGGAGTGACAATGTGGACACTGCCCGTTACATCGCGTTGAGCTGTGACCAATGAGCTCCCGGAGTGGGTGGCACGTGATAACAGCCGCAGCCATGGCGATAGGTATACTGAATGTGGTGTGCCGGCTGCGAACGCAGATTGGGCTGAATTTAATCGTCTATTTTTCTGCAGAAGGGTGGCATCACCGCCCCATTTCTCCCGCCAATGAAGGTAATTTCCGCGAGCAGGCTTCATAATGCAGCGTCGCTGAGCTCCGAGGAGTGTTAAACAACATGAATCTCAACCCAACGTGGAGCGGTGTGTGGCCTGGTGCCACCGCTGCTACCCAATGTAAGACAACCCCCCAATCAACAAGCAGCTCTTGTGGCAACGCACACCTCAGATGTGCGTGTCGCACCCAGGCTGGCCCACGAGAGTTGGACGCTCACCACCACCGCCACTCGTGCGTGGGAGTTTCGCGGCTGCGCTTCGCGGCTCTCCGCTCGCGTTTTCGGGGGTTTGTGCCGCG